ACCCGTTGGTTATAATGGCAAGATGGAAGGGCCGAGCGGGGAACGGGGGGCGACCGTAGGAAATTTGCAAATTTTCACGACAGGGCACGGATAATTTCCGGCTGGCTCGGTGGCTTCCGCTCTTGACAAATGACTGTGGTTTCCGGTTATCGGCTGCGACGACGACCCCCTTCGCATTCCGAATTAGCAGGAATGTCTGGCCCGCTATCTGCTCGGTACTCTTTCGAATGGGGGTAGGCGATCGGATGCTGTTTTTGAGACGATACTGGGGCGAATCAAGGTTTGATCTGGGTTTCATGATTTTCCGGGTGATACGCTGTTGGAGTCGGAGTTGTACTTTTGATTTGACTGATTGAAGTTGGAGCTATAATTTTGAGGGATAAGGCAAGGTTTATGGAAAGTAGAATCGTGGGTGGTATTGTAAGAGAATCATGCGATATGAAGGTGAATTATTATAAGTGACATTAAGTAAAGTGTACACTTTGGAAAATACATGGTGATATAAGGATATAACATCTGATCAAAGTAAACAGTATAATGAGGATTGTGATGAAGTAGTTGATGTAATATACACTAGAAACATGCCTCTTTATTTTCAACCACTTTGTTGCTACGTAATTCTGAATTTAATGATTCTCAATCTCATTAAGAAGCGCTACTATTCTTAGGAATATTAATAAAAACACTGCCGCTAAATACAAATTCCGGCTTTCGAAATGCATAAAGCGAAGTTCAGACCCTATAAAATACCCAATCGCAGTCAACTGCCAATTAACATCCGCATGAAAAAGAAATATGAATATCGAACGACGAGTGGGCGCATTGCTCCGAACGACGATACGAAACAGTTGTTCGCCAATTTGACAAGGTAACGAGCCGCGCACTGCTACAATTCCGCGCGCATTAACCCGCCTGTATTGGTAATCTTATGCAAGCCTCTCGAACAATGCGTCCCGGCAGTATTGCGCGGCTGGCAGCGATGAAAGGGTTAAAACGAGGCCGCGGCAGCGACGATCGGTCTATCGATCTATACTCACAGCGCACGTTGAGAAAATAACCGACGCTGGTGAATAAGCCGAGTACGTGCTTGGTGTAACATTTGTACCAGCCGCTCTCGGCCCGGCTGATTTTTGTGAAGTTCAGCCATTCGTCGTCGCTCTGCTCGACGGGTGGTCCATTGTCTGAAACACAAACGGCGCAAGCCGGTTCAATATACACGGTGTTATAAAACAAGATGCCGATATTCGAAGGGCTTATGGCACTCGCCGGGACAATAGCGCATCGGAATGGAAAGACGCATTAAACATTTACTACGAAGACCTATGCTACACTTATAGTATATATAATCAACCCTTTCCACTCGAGACGCGACTCTCAGTCGTCAGTTGGTTTGATGCAACAAAACCTTATACTTTGATATTTAGTATTAAACTTCGTGACGTATCGATACATGAAATATCGTGAAGAATAGATTCGATTCCCTGATTCATGTATAACTTTCTTTTACGTCAGTTTAAAACGATAGTAAATATTTATAGCAATTATTGTTCACTTTATTTTATTGTCTCTAGAACAACTGATTCATTCACATGAATCTTGAAAAAAGATGCGCACATGTCTTCCTATAATTGCATCAATTAAAATTGACATAAGACTATACCAAATGACGTTTACGAAAGTGAATATCGGTCGAATTGACAGGTTTTGTAAACCTACCGTCAATGCAATGTAAAGAGGAATATTGCTGACATTAGATACACAATAAAAATTCATTTTAGTAACTTCGTTAAGTACATATTTCGTACTTTTATCAGTGAAAGGGAATTATGAACGCTTCAAGTATCAAACTCTGTTTCCGAATCACCCTGTACATGCGCGAATTAACTCGGTGGAAACATCGTACACTGGAAACCGTCGTCCGGCCGAGCTACGCGCCGTTTCACGGTCTTGCAGCGCGCGGGGGTTCCCGCGGGTTCGCGCTGCTACCGATTAAGCGGCTGGAATTACGCGGTCGACACTGGCGGGACGCCAGAACGCCGCGGAGCACCGAGATCGCGGGCCCCGTTATTGTCCTTTAAAAAATTCCCCGCCGCCCCGTGCGTTGCTCGCACAAATTACGCGCCGTCGACTCGGAATACCAAGCAGACATCAGCTTGTTGTAATAATGCATCGTTACAGGGTGTCACGGTATCTTGCGGAATTTTCGGTTGTGGTATCGTTAACCCATCCGCTGTCAGGGCCAAATTATAAAATTTCATTCGTATTGGCAAATTCATAACGATTTATATCAGAACACATTTTGGCATTGGCAATGCACAGTACATTGAAAAGAGTTAAATTATGTACTTAATGTACACAGTACATTAAAAGGGTTAAAGAGTTTTTGGTATACTGTAGACGAAGTGGGATCTTGTTTTCCCTTGGGGAAGAAAGTTTTCAAGTTCATAAAAATTGGACTTGTTTTTATTTACTTACTTTTTTTATGCCTTGAGAATAGGTGCTAATGATCGTCGTTGGAGTTGTTTGGAATAAATGTGTAAGAGGTCTGAATAAATTCTTTCTTTATTGTTTTTACATTTGTTTGAATGTTTCATCTGTATTTAATTGAATAATTTGATCGAATATATTCTCTTTGCATATACAGATAATTAACGTCCGTTTGCTCGAATAATTTAACTAATTTTACTGAATATTCGACTCCCATTCAATGGGAGTTTCTTCAATGCGGAGTAAACACCACTAAATGATTTAATGTACAAAACGGAGTCATAGTCGTGGCAAAAGCAAGGCAGTAAATTCCTTGGTTAACGGTATTCCGGTAATCCTAGCCTGAGATTCTATTTGGCTTAATCAAATTAGCGCACGCGATCCACCCATCTGCTCTGCGAAAGGTTCACCCCCGCTCCTCTCCTTGTTTCTCTTTCTTTTTCTTTCGAACAGTGGAGAAATCAAAGAAATAAGCAGAAGTAAAAGAAAAAACGAGTCGGCGAGAAAAGGGATACCCAGTTGAGTTAGTCGAACAGGAGGAAGGGAGAAGGAAGCTTTCGCGAAAGGGGTGGCTAGGGGAGAGCAGGAAAGATCGCGTTCCACCGAAGTCGCCCGCGAAACTTTTATCTGGCTATAGACTTTTTCTCGCTGTTTGTTTTTCGCTCGCCTTCCAATACGATTTGACGAGAAGTAGGATTCGGTACAGCTGTCAGATTTACTGGTTTGAAGCTGCTTGGTGTTATTGAATATGAAAAGGGGATCGTAAAGTATACGAACTTCAATCCAGCGAGGATTAAAGCAGTAAACAGTAGCAGTAACTTGATGTGAAATATTGCCACGTCTTCGTTAATAAGTGCACATATTATTATATTGCTTTGTTTAATCTTCATAGTCTCTTTAACTGTATTTTCTTACATTCACTTTAAATTACTCCAAATGTGTGAAAAATGTATAAAAATGTAGCTACTGTAGGATTTCAGTATAGCAAAACTTGGGAAACATTTATTTTATAGATGAAAAATATGTTATTACTATTTCCACATTTTCATTACACTAAAACGAGATATAATAACTCATTCTTGAAGACTACTTTCAGTTGATTCGACAGTTATTACTGCAACCAGTAATATCATCAATAAATTAAAACCTAAAACATCAATTACACAATTATATCGATTAATACTATTCGCACAGGCAGAACTGACACCATCATCAACTCAATTTCATCAATTACCGTCACACCTCTCAAATATACAACGAGAAACTACACTCCCCACGCATTATTTTAATAAATCCGGTTTCAAGATGATCCAGGCCTTCCTCCCGATGCGATTTGACAACAAGCAGGATTCAGCTGTCGGATTTACTAACGCGAAGCCGCTGCCGCGCTCCTGAATGTGGAGTAACGTCGACAAGGCCGGCGGGAAGAAAGCGAGACGAAGAGGAAGATGAGACTGAACAAGGCGGATGAAACGTCCGCCGCCGTGTGTATCCCTCATCCTCCACCCTGTCGGAGTTTTGCGGCGAAACTTTTATGCGTCCCCGGTAATACAGTCCCTGGAGTGCAAGGGCGAAGGGTGGCCCGTGGGGATATTCTGCTGAAGAGAAAACTCGCCGTTAGGCAGCGAGACGCTGCCAAAGCACGGCCGCCTGTGTTAACGATATCTATACGAACGACGTACCAGCGAGATAACCCGGCATTTTGCGTGAAATAGAAGCGGCCTGTGACTTGTTCTCGGTACCACAGCATTTCCGGTAAGGTCATGCTGGATTCCGCCAATTTGGCAGGGAAACAAACGAACCCGGATAAAGCCGCACTTGCAGGGTGGAGAGAAAAAGTAGAAGCCAAAGGTGAGTGAAAATACGAAAATATTGCGACTGGAATTTCTGTTTAGATCAGGAAATGATTCCGAAATTTCTGAATTGCTGAAAATATGCGACGGATCAATCGGAGCTTCCATCATCTTCGATGCTTAAACTCGAGTTTGAATGGCGCGGTTCTTTTGTAACTGGGCTACTTGCACGTAGACTGCAGGTTTTGGATTTTATTTTATGCACCGGAAGTTGGAGAAAATTCGAGTTATTTCAAAAATTCATCAGTTTCCTTCCGTCCTAGTTTGGCACCGGTTATTCTTGATATTCTGATGGGATTTTCTATGAGTTCTCGTGATATTATGGATCCGAGCTACTTGCATGTTGAAGTACGGACTTCGAGCTTTAACTTTCTATACCGGATGTTGGAAATGGTGTTGATAGAATATGTTTAGATAGAAGTATGCGAGAACCAAGAAATACTGTGTCGATTTTGGACGAGTTTTTCTTGAGATCGTGTGACGTCTCCAAAAATATCAGTATTCTCGGGTAAGTCGAAATTCTCGAGAATTTCAGGATTCTCGAGAATATCGGGTTGCTGGAAATTTCGAAGATCCCACTTGCCATTTGAAGGTTCATTTAACGAATGCAACTTTGGCTTGAAATTTTCAACTTGAAATTCGGGCGCTCCGATATTTTGAAAATCGCAATTATCTCGAAATATTCGAGAGCCAGGGTGCATTTGGGAATCTCGAAACTTTTGGGTAACCGAGTTGAATCAACTCGATTATTGGATTTTCAGTATTTTCTGGTTGTCGCACACCTTTAATAGAGAGGTGTACTAACACGCTCGAGGCAACGATGAGCCTGCGTGAGCTGTTCTCGGATGAAACAGCGTAGAACAATTGCGCGAAACCCCGCGGTTTCTAATTTTCGATGCAACCGGTTAGGTTAGGTAACGTTACACGGCGAGGCGTTTTACATGTAATATGCGATTCGTCGGCGTTGGTGCGATTACGTGTCGGATTTAGGTCGTCTTCAGTTTCCTTTCCTTCTATCACCGAGGTGAAGGTTTCGAACTCAATTCCTGACTGACGTGGATATTATTCATTCCTCTCTAGTCGAGGTGCAGTACTATCTTCACGTTGTCAATATTCAATGGTTGGGATGAACGTAAGCTAGCAATGAAAATAGTGATAGATGAAAATAGTTTGAACTTCGATCATCGTTTGCAAGTATTTACAAAATATTATAACTGATCTTTTCATTTCCAGAATCGACTGTTTCTATAAATATCTACGTTTTTCAAAAATTAAAAACAGGTCAGATTTGCTAAACAATATTAGTTGCATATATATAATATTATATAATCTATAGAAATACTAGACTTCAATGTGTCACTGTCTGTCACTAAAATTAACCCCTTGCACTATGATTTCTTTTTCAACTACAATCGATACGATTACTTTGTCATCAATAATTTATTGGAAAAAGTTCAAAGTTTAGGCATATTCTATGCCCATGTTTCCTCTTAAGTATAATAATTGATTATAGAAGAATAATATTTATTTTGAATTCGCATGAAACGAGTATTATTTATGTTTGTTAAATCATATTGAAAGTATTCACCACAAGCCTGACACGTTGTTATAGGGTAAGGGATTAACATCTTAACAATCACTAATTTCTGATCGCATACACTTTAACAGCTCCCGACTCTCTGTCCAATAATCTTTGGTGCCGTAAGTCAAAGAATTAGGTAACTAGTAGAATTAGACAATTCACCCCGCGTATCTGGAATCTCGTCGTATCAAAAGCCACCCTAATCCCCTGCAATCCCATCCCCGTTCCAATGATCAACCGATGATAACAGGAGGAATGA